TACTCTTCACACCGAAACCGGACGGAAGCCTGCGCATGTGCATCGACTACCGAGCTCTTAACAAGCAGACCATCAAGAATAAATATCCAATACCGCGAATCGATGACCTGCTTGACCAGCTTCGGGGAGCTACGGTATTTTCCAAACTGGATCTGCGGTCCGGATACTGGCAAATACGCATGGCGGACAACTCTATCCACAAAACTGCTTTCCGAACTCGGTACGGATCGTACGAGTATTTGGTAATGCCATTCGGACTCACCAACGCACCGGCAACGTTCCAAGCTGAAATGAACCACATTCTACGACCACTTTTGGACGAGTGCGTGGTGGTGTACCTGGACGACATACTCATCTACTCGCGCGACATGAAGCAGCACGTCGAACACCTGCGACGCGTCTTCGAAATTCTTCAACGAGAACGATTCTACGTCAAACTGTCCAAGAGCGAATTCGCCCTTGAAAAGGTCCAGTTCCTAGGACACATGGTGAGCGCTCAAGGAGTTCACGTCGACCCCAAGAAAATCGAGGCCGTACGCACGTGGAAGACACCCGAGAACGTGAAGGAGTTGCAGCAGTTCCTAGGCTTCGCTAATTACTACAACAGGTTCGTGCCACAGTATGCGAAAATCGCAGCACCACTTACGAGTCTGCTAAAGAAGAACACGCCCTACAAATGGGAGCCGAAGCACCAGGAAGCCGTGGAGCAGCTGAAGCAAGCACTTACGTCCGCACCGGTACTCATTCTGCCAGATCCCAAACGCGACTACGTCATCGAAGCTGACGCCAGTGACCAAGCAGTGGGAGCAGTCTTGATGCAAGATCAAGGGAATGGACTGCAACCAATCGCTTACCTAAGTAAGAAACTGCACGGGGCAGAACTAAACTACCCGATACACGACAAAGAGGCCCTGGCCATCATCATCGCCTTCAAAGCGTGGAGATGCTATCTCGAAGGATGAAGAACAACCGTCTACATTGACCACTGCAGCCTGAAATACTTGAAGACACAACCCAACCTTTCCAGGCGGCAGGTCCGGTGGATCGACTTCCTCGAGACACACTTCCACTACGACATCGTGTACAAGCCCGGTCACAAGAACAAAGCAGACGCTCTCAGCCGGCCTGCACACGTTGCCGCTATTCAGGTCGAAGGGATGAATCCACTACTCAAGGGACTCTTCACACACGGGTACGCCACCGACCCCGAAATTCCCTTGGCAGAAAAGCGACATCTGTTACAGTGGGACAGTGACATCGCGTACCGGAAAGGATCCATGAAAATCTGGGTACCCAATTACCCTCCTTTGCGCCAGTTACTACTCGAAGAATACCACGACGTCCTCTACGCCGGACACTTCGGTAGCAACAAGACGCTGACCGGTATCGCAAAGCACTACTACTGGCCCCACTTAGCAGAAGATGTCCAGAAATTCGTCACCTCGTGTGATACATGTCAGCGGATGAAGAGCAGCAAGCAGAAAACGGCGGGACTACTGCAGCCTCTTCCTGTCCCAGAACAACCATGGCAAGTGGTTAGCCTGGACTTCATCACCGGGTTACCACCTACCTCCAGCGGTCATGACGCCATCCTTGTCATCATTGACAAGTTCTCCAAAATGGGACACTTCATCCCGACACACACGACAGCACGCACCGAAGAAACAGCACAACTCTTCGTTCAATACATCATCTCACAGCATGGCATTCCAACCACACTCATCTCCGACCGAGACCCTAAGTTCACCAGCAAGTTCTGGAAGGAACTTATGTCTCTCCTCGGGACCAAACTCGCCATGTCATCCGCTTACCATCCGCAGACAGACGGACAGACCGAGCGCCTCAACCAAATTGTTGAGCAACTCCTCCGAGCAGCCTGCAAGGACGACATCTCCAAATGGGACTTGCACCTGCCCGTACTAGAGTTTGCTTACAACAATGCTACACATGCCGCTACTGGACAGACGCCGTTCTTCCTCTGCTACGGACGCCACCCACTCACACCACAAAAACCGACAGCATCAGCTACAGTCCAACCCGCACATGATTTCATCACAACCATGCATCAGCTTTGGGATCGGACCCACAAGCGCCTCCTCGACATTCAACAGCAACAGAAGCGCCACGCCGATCGCCATCGCAACGATCACACCGTCACGGTAGGAGACCAGGTGCTTCTTGACACCCGCAACCTGGACATCAGCCATCTCCCATCTAAACTTCGACCTCGCTTCTGCGGGCCTTTTCTCGTTGAAGCACAGATCACTCCTGTTACCTTCCGCTTACGCCTGCCAGCTACCTGGAAGATTCACAACGCCTTCCACGTCCAACTTCTGAAGCCCTATCGGGACCCGAACACGATTTTCGTTGGACGCCAACCGCCGCCGCCACCGCCCGTCCTCGTCCATAATGAACCCGAGTACGAGGTCGAGTCCGTGCTCGCACACCGCCGTCATCGGAATGGCACCGTGGAGCTTCTCATTCGTTGGAAGGGTTATGATCCTTCTGAGGACAGCTGGGTACCTGAGTCCGACATGGGTAACGCCCGTCGTCCTCTGCATGACTACCTTGTCAAGCAGGGTGTTACTTCCACCACCCAGCTTTGAGGGGGGGAAGTGTGAGAGTACGACCCCGTTACACCACTTGGCCTTTTCTTATTTCCTTCCTTTTTCCTTTTTCTTTTATTCCATCTCATTTGGTTTCCTATTCTTCCTTTTCCATTAACCTTTGGTTTATCCTGCTATTATAATTATATCACCGACCAGGCTTGGGATGTACTGGTGCGCTCTATCTAGCGTAATCCTGCTGTAATCCCTTAAAGCCAATAGCCTCGCGTGGCTATACGCAGGGTGATTCTATCTTCTAGAAGGGTCTATTCCCCTAGGATAAGATAAACCTGGTTACCTGATGTACTCTGCAAGTATAAAAGCGCCTTGTTCTGATCGATAGTGCAACCTTTCCTCGACACATTCGATCCTGTAACAGGTTTGGCTGTGTCTTCAAATATTTCACACTGCAGTGGTCAGTGTATGCGGCTCTTTTCATCTTTCACGATAACATCTCCACGTTTTGAAGGCTATGATAATAGCAAGTGCTTCTGTGGTAGGCGATTGGTTGCAGTCCATTCCCCTGGTCTTGCATCAAGAATGCTCCCACTGCCTGATCACTAGCGTCAGCTTTGATGAAGTAGTCGTGTTCGGGGTCTGGCAAGATGAGTATGGGTGCGGATGTGAGGGCTTGTTTCAGCTGCTCCACGACTTCCTGATGTTTTGGTTCCCTCTTATAGGGCGTGTTCTTCTTTAGTAGATTCGTGAGTGGTGCGGCAATTTTTCGCGTACCGTGGCACGAACCTGTTGTAATAGTTAGTGAAGCCTAGGAACTGCTAAAACTCCTTCACGCTCTCGGGTGTCTTCCACGTGCGTACAACCTCGATTTTCTTGGGGTCGACGTGAACTCCTTGAGCGCTCACCAGGTGTCCTAGGAATTGGACCTTCTCGAGGGCAAATTCGCTCTTGGATAATTTGACGTAGAATCGTTCTCGTTGAAGAATGTCGAAGTCGCATCGCAGGTGTTCGACGTGCTGTTTCATGTCGTGCGAGTAGATGAGGATGTTGTCCAGGTACACCACCATGCATTCGTCCAAGAGTGGGCGTAGAATGTGGTTCATTTTGGCTTGGAACATTGCCGGTGCGTTGGTTAGTTTGAACGGCATTACCTGATACTCCTACGACCCGAACTGAGTTCGGAAGGCAATTTTGTGGATGGAATTGTCCGCCATTCTTATCTGCCAATAGCCGGACCGCATATCCAGCTTGGAAAATACCGTGGCTCCCCGAACCTGGTCAAGTAGATCATCGATTCGTGGAATCGGGTATTTGTTCTTAATGGTCTGCTTCTTGAGAGCTTGGTAATCAATGCACATGCGCAGGCTTCCGTCCGGTTTTGGTGTGAAGAGTACTTGGGCACCGCATGGCGAAGTGGATGGTCAGATGAGTCCTTTGGCGAGGAGATACTCGATCTGTTTCTTCATGTTGGCTAGCTCCGAAGGGCTGAGCCGATATGGTGCTAGAAAGGTCGGTTTCGAACCTGGTTCTTCCACGATCTCGTGTTGGTGCGTTCGATATGGCGGTAGCTCATTCGGAAGGTCGTCGGGAAGGATGTCTTGGAACTCCTTCAGTAATTCCTTGATTTTTTTTTTAGGTTCCTAGGTTTTCTCTCCGTCATCTTCTGCATCTGTTGCTAACGCCAGGAACCCGGTGTCGGCTAGTTTCACATCCTTCTGGAACCTATCGAGTGTCTCTACTGGGATATCTCCTGTGTCGTTCCAGTTGGGTAGCTGGACTCTCCTTCCATTGTTGTAGATACTTGCGGTGTGGTTTACCCAGTTGGGGTTGAATTTGTTAAGGAAGTCTCGCCCGAAGATCAAGTCAAGCCCTTTTATGTTGGTGATGGGGACTGCAGGTTTCTAGTGCAATGGACCGATTTGTAAGTGTAACACTGCTTCGCCGTGTACTGGTAACTTGCTGCCGTCCACCATCGTTGCAAGGAATGTTGAAGGCTTGCACTCTTCCCGAAGTCGGTCGATTGCAGCCTTGTCGCATACAGTGTGTGACGTTCCGCTGTCCACGAGTGCTCGGAGGTGTCGTCCTTTGCAGATGACCTCGAGCACAAGGGGGAGGCATTGCTCGGAGTACCCAAAGATAGTTTCATTGATAGGATCATAGGGTATATCCCAATATTCCGTACACACCTTTTTGTTACTATCCACCCCTCAGCTGGCAGCTGGCCGAGGCTGCTTGGAGATGTTAGGATTAAGGACGGAGTCTAGGTGAACTTTAGGAGCTAGAATTACTCAAAATATAAATCCGAAATTCTGGACAGAAAAGTCGTCTTCACAAGAAACGACGTCGACGGAACACTAGCCGTTGGAATGTCGCGAAACTTGGATATATTGTAGCTCTTAATCTCAGCTACCGTTCACAATTTGAATCATGTTGATTAATGAAGTATTGGCGACGCTATGGCTTTCGACGCACTAGGGGGTAAGCTGTAGGAGGAGAACTTAACTCAATCTCAAGAGTTCAATCAAAGTTCAAGAATCTCACAAGGAATTAGAGGAGCAAGAGAAAGGTTGGGATAGAAAGAGAGGGACGAGAGGGAAGGTCCCAAGAGAGTCCCCAACCAAGGAAACCCCATAAACACAAAGATTCCCTCCCTATAGGAACCCCAATTTTGACATTTGTCCCTTCCCAACCAATCCAACCAAGTTGGCCACCCTTGCCAACCTAGCTTGGTTGTTCCCAACCAATTTGCAGCTGTTACAGTAGAGTGACAAATTTCTCCAACCCCCAAAGGTCCCAACTCCATATAAAGTCACCCCACAACTTCACTTTGTAACCGCCGCAATTGTAACGCAAGCTCATGAACTTTGAATCTTCATAGCTTTCGCGTTCTTGCTCCGATTGAAGCGATTCTTGTTGCGTCGGAAAGATCTTCTCAAGATCTATCATCAGAAATACCTGCTCAAACAAAAAATAACACAAAACACATTCCCAAACTCCAGAACACACCACACAAATTCTTTCACACGTTCAAACCACACATGCGAATTGAAACAAGAGATGAGAGGCAGACAGAATGTGATAGCATATGATGACATCACACAACAATCTCCCCCTCTGGCTGCCAACCATCAACCACCATACCAACATCTCAAGCATGCATACTCAATGCACACTCATCCCAGCAAGCTTCATGCCCTTCCAATGATCCGCCTCCGCCAGACGCTTGGTGAAAATATCTGCTGCCTGCTGATGGGTCTTCACTATCTCCAGCTGCACCTCCTTATCAAGGAGTCTCCTCACCCAATGCCACTTAGGCCTTATGTGTTTTGTCAGCCCATGCAGACAAGCATTCTTGGCGAGCTTCACAGCGGACTCATTGTCACAAAACACAACTGTCGGCTTCTCCTGACCAACTCCCAACTCCTCCAACAAACGCCTTAGCCACACTACTTCCTTGGCCCCATGGTGTAAGGCCATGTACTCAGTCTCACATGAGGACAATCCCACCTCATTGTGCTTCTTGCTGCGCCAACTCACAGCACCACCTCCTAGCAAGCACACATAACCCCCAATGCTGGTGCCATCCGCTTTCACTGAGTTGAAGCTAGCATCAGTATAGCAACTCAAGAGCATCTCTCCACTCTTCACATCTGCAGCACCTCTCTGCAACCGCTGCCTCACTCCACTGTACTCCAATCCCACTGATGCCGTAGCACTCACATAGCGGACCAACCTCTTGGCCGCTTCCAGCTGCTCATGACTAGGGCGTGAGACCACACTAGCCAACCGTGATGTAGAAAATGCAATGTCAGGCCGTGTATGATTTGCAGCATAATTCAGCGACCCAACCATCGAATGAAACAGCTTCCTGTCACTCTCACCCACTACCTCCTCATCAGCACATGGCTCCACAGTAAACCCTGAAGGTAGTGGTGTTGCTGGCTTTCCCCCATCTTGCAGCCCATACTTCTCAGCCAGTCCCTCACAGTACTTCCTCTGGTGCAACCTCAGCACACCCTTTTCCACATCTCTCTCCACGTGCATCCCCAAGTAGTACTTCATCTCACCCATCTTGGAGCACTTGAACTGCATCTCCAGCATCTGCTCTGCGCTGTCCAGCAAAGCAGTGGATGCAGAAAAGAGAAGGATATCATCCACATACACCAAGAGCATGAGGATTTCATCCTTCTCCTGCAGCAGGAACAGGCTGGGGTCACACTCACTCTTCTTGAAACCCCCAGCCAACAGCGCCTCCTCCAACTTGTGATACCATGCACGAGGCGCCTGCTTAAGGCCATAGATGGCCTTCTTCAGCCTGCAGACCCTGCCGCTCCCATCATCCAGCCCCTCTGGCTGCTTCATGTACACCTCCTCCAGAATGATCCCATTAAGAAAGGCAGTCACAATGTCCATCTGTCGTATCTTCCATCCCAGGAGTGCAGCTATCGCCAACAGCACCCTCAGTGTTGTTCCTTTCCCCACAGAAGCAAACACCTCATCATAGTCCTTCCCCTTTGTCTGCTGAAACCCCCGTGCCACAAGCCTAGACTTGTAGCGGGTCAGCTCATCCTCACTCGCCTTCCACTTCTCCCCATTTGGTCCATTCAAAGCCTCCTCTCGAGTCTTGGGCTCAGGGATTGGTGCCCAGTAGCAGTGAGCGATCTCATCTTCCTCAATCTGCTCAACCACACTCCCAGCCTGCACCACATTCGGCTTGCCTCTTCCCCCATAGGTCAGCCTCACTGGAGGGCGCACATCCCTCCTAGGACGCTCAGGCGGGTGTGGAACTCGAGGTGGAGACTCATGCTGCTGCTGCTGCTGCTACTGCTGCAGCTCTACTTCAGCTGCTCCCCCTTCCTCAGTCACCCCAGACATCTCCTCCTCTGACACTGCAACCTCCACCTGTCTTGAAGGCTGCTGCACCTCATCTGCCTCCACAATGAGCGGTGTAGATGGAAGCTTCTGTTGCTGCTGCTTCCATTCCTTGTAGTACATGGACTCAAGAAACTTCACATCCCTTGACACTGTCAACTTCTGGGTGGTCAAGTCCCATAGCAGCCACCCCTTGTGATCCTTTGCAATCCCCAAGTGCACACCCCATCTTCCAGAAGCCTCCAACTTCCCCCTTTTCTCCTTAGGCACATGAAACACCACCATGCACCCAAATGCCCTCAGCATGTTCACAGCTGGAGCACTCCCATACCACTTGATATATGGGATCCACTCCTTATCTCCAACTGTAGCCAGCACCCTGTTCTTCACAAGGGCGACCTGCCTCAGTGCAGACACCCAAAACGGATCAGGCAGCCCTGTACGCCCAAGGATAGTGCGTGCCCCCTCCTGCAGGGTCCTGTTGAACCTCTCAGCCACGCCATTCTGCTGTGGGTTGTAGGGCACTGTCAGTTGATGCTGGATCCCCTTCCTCTTCAACTCCCCCTCAAAATCAGCTCCAATGAACTCCCCACCATTGTCACTACGGATCACCTTCACCTTGTGTCCGCATTCCCTCTGAGCTCTCGGCATCCACTCCTTAAGGACAGCCGCTGCCACCTCCCCCTTGCTCTTTAAAGGGTAAACCCACACTGCCCGAGTGTGGTCATCCACTATTGTCAAGAAATAGCTGCTGCCTGAGAGGGAAGGGGCTCTTGTGGGCCCCACCACATCCATGTGCACAAGTGCAAGTGGGGTCTTGGCTGGTCCTGTAGTGCTGTTGAAGGGGAACTTGGAGAACTTGGTCTCCAAGCATGTAGGGCAGCTCCCAATCTCCTTCACTCCCCCTTTCACCTCCAAGCCCTTCAGGCTCCCATCCTTCACCAACTTCTGCAGCATAGGGAAGTTCACGTGACACAGCCTCTCATGCCATGTCTCCCAATCGGCCTCTCCACTCTTTGATGAAGCCTTAGCCCATGCCGCACTCGCATCCACACCAGCAAGCACCTCACCATGTGTCTGCTGCTGCTGCACTTTCTTGACTGCTTCCAGGACCCCATCAGTTGGTGCAGTTGCATCTCCTCCTGCTGTTGCCTTTGCCGCTGCTGCCGTTGCTGCTGTTGGAGTCTTCCCATTCCATGGGATGATGGGCAGCTGCCACAGGTCCTTGATGCAGCTGGTCTCCTCTTCCAGACTCCACAGCACCTTCTTCCCAAGCTTAGCACGGCAGCTGGTTGGTCCAAAGGTCACTTCGGCCTTGCTCTTCTGCAGTCGTCGCACAGAGAGAAGGTTAGCAGACAAGCCTTCAACCAGCAGAACATTCCCAAGCCCCACAAGCTCCCCATTAGCTCCCTTAACCTTGGCATTTCCAACACCAATGACAGGGAGCAAAGCACCTGACGCTGCTGCCACATACTTGATCTTCCCAGGGGGTTTTACCTCATCAAGCAAATCTGCCCGTGGGGTCATGTGACTGGTGCAACCCGAATCAATCACCCAGTGCGTGAGAGGGTGCATCACAACCTTTCCCACAGATCCCACATCACCCTCATGCCCATGCACATTCTCAACCATAAGAAACAAACCAGGATAGGCATTACCTTGTGCACCTTCACCTTGTGCACCTGAGCCTTGCACAGCGCCACCTTGTGCGCGTTCACCACTGGGCGGCTTCATGCCTGGAGGTGCCCATCCCTCCGGCCTGCTGAAGCACTTGAACCAAGGATGCCCGACCTTCTTGCAGTACCAGCAGGTGCCCTCCATTCTGGTACTCCCCCTGCCACTGGAGCTTCCATGCCCCTCATTATAGTCACCTCGGCCTCTACCTCTGCCAAAGCTCCTCCCACGGCCTCGGCCTCTCCAACCCCCTCTTCCTTTGCCGCGCCCTGCAGCTCCATACCCCTCAGCAGTCTTCGTGGTAGCACCGCCTCCCACATGGCGTCTACGGAAGTCCTCCTGCAGAATCTGCTGCCTTAGCCACTCAGGTGTCCATTGATCTTGCTGAGAGTTGAGGGTGGGGATGAGGTTGTCCCAAGAGTTGTCCAACACCGAGATGATCTTGGTGCACTGCTGCAGCTGAGATACACTGCTGCCCGCTGCTGCCATCCTTGCATAGGTGTCCTTGATCTTGTCAAGGACCGGCTTCACATCATCCCCTGGTCGCATGGAGATGGCAGCAAGTTCCTTCTCGAGCACGATCACCATTGGGAGAGTGTTGGGCTGAATCACATCACGTAGTAGTTTCCACGCCCTTGGACCCGAATCATCCGCTTCCACAAGATCCTTGATGTGCTCGAACATCTCCTTGTTGACCGATTGAAGGATGAGGTCGAAAAGCACCGCGCTTTTCTCAATCCACCGTTCGCGTGCTTCGCCTTCTTCCGGCATCTTCTCTTCCCCAACAGCAATCTTCAGGAGCTTGTAGCGTTTGAAGGCACTCCTCATCCGTCCGCTCCATTCCTCATAGTTGGAGCCATCCAAAGCGTCAACTTTTGATGGCGGCGCCTCACTTGGCTTCTCAGGTACAGCTCCTCTTCCATTAGCATCTCCTCCTCTCTCATTCATCTTCTCCTTGAGAAATGACGAATTTCAGCTCCCCTTTGCTGTCCACACACAGCTCCCTCGATATTTTTCACAAGTGTCGGCGTCCACAAAATTTCGGCAGAGTTTCCCCTTAGCGGAAGACACATCCAACCTTTAGAACACCACTTAGGCACACCCACAGGCCATGGTGGGTCTAGAAGGGTCTTTAAACTTCTGTAGACTCCTCTCAATGTCCTTAATATCGCTCTGATATCAATTGTTAGGATTAAGGACGGAGTCTAGGTGAACTTAGGAGCTAGAATTACTCAAAATATAAATCCGAAATTCTGGACAGAAAAGTCGTCTTCACAAGAAACGACGTCGACGGAACACTTGCCGTTAGAATGTCGCGAAACTCGGATATATTGTAGCTCTTAATCGCAGCTACCGTTCACAATTTGAATCATGTTGATTGATGAAGTATTCGCGATGCTATGGCTTTCGACGCACTAGGGGGTAAGCTGTAGGAGGAGAACTTAACTCAATCTCAAGAGTTCAATCAAAGTTCAAGAATCTCACAAGGAATTAGAGGAGCAAGAGAAAGGTTGGGATAGAAAGAGAGGGACGAGAGGGAAGGTCCCAAGAGAGTCCCCAACCAAGGAAACCCCATAAACACAAAGATTCCCTCCCTATAGGAACCCCAATTTTGACATTTGTCCCTTCCCAACCAATCCAACCAAGTTGGCCACCCTTGCCAACCTAGCTTGGTTGTTCCCAACCAATTTGCAGCTGTTACAGTAGAGTGACAAATTTCCCCAGCCCCCAAAGGTCCCAACTCCATATAAAGTCACCCCACAACTTCACTTTGTAACCGCCGCAATTGTAACGCAAGCTCATGAACTTTGAATCTTCATAGCTTTCGCGTTCTTGCTCCGATTGAAGCGATTCTTGTTGCGTCGGAAAGATCTTCTCAAGATCTATCATCACAAATACCTGCTCAGACAGAATAACACAAAACACATTCCCAAACTCCAGAACACAACACACACAAATTCTTTCACACGTTCAAACCACACATGCGAATTGAAACAAGAGATGAGAGGCAGACAGAATGTGATAGCATATGATGACATCACACAACAGGAGAAAGGCTCCTCTCCAGAGCTCGGAGTCTCCTTGATGACTGTGTGCGTCGTTGATGCCGAAGTTGCTGAGCTAGATGCATCTGAAGGAGGAGTTCGGGGCTTTTGCAACTTCTTGTAGACCCTCAGCTTCCTCTTGAGTTGCTTGAGCTGCACCGACGTCTTTACTGGGGAGCGGGTAGTCGTTGTGGGCTGGTGTCGGGAGTGGACGTTGACTTCGTGGAAAGGTCGGCTTCTCTCCACACTCCTTAATTGTTTGTCCAAGTTCTCTGGTACTGGTATGATCTCCACAAAATTTTGCCTTTTATGGAGTCCCTCTTGAAATTTCTCCAAGGAACTAGCCCCTCGAGAATCATAAGTTTTCATTGAAGCATCTTTATAGGATAACCTTAACGAATCCCTATAATTTCTTGGGTCTTCTAGGAGTTTCCCTGTCTCACCAGAGCCTTTTTTCGCTGAGTCCGATGTTTTCTTGGCAATTTTCCCTGGCGAAGACTGGTCGTGGGGTGGAGATTTTCCCCGATCAGTTCCTCCTGCTCGCGTCGAATCAGCTTCGTTGAAGTTGATTTTCTGGAATCGCGGAGCCGTTTTCGGATCTTTTCTTTTTGCCAGCTAGATCCACAATCACTGCCGATTCCTGTTTTTTGTCTTCTGATTGGCCAAAGAATTTCTGCCACTGTTACGCAATCCTGTTCAAAACACGCTCGGAGGGGTTAATACATTTTTTTTGGAGCTGGTGCTTACCAGAATCGACGCCGAATCAGGCGCTCCTAACAGTTTTTCGAGGCAGGTTTTCCTGCTGCTGCTGCCGCTTAGCTGAGTGCGGCCGAGTGAGAAAAGCTCTGATTACTAAGTGTTACAGGATCAAATGGGTCGGAGAAAATTTGCACTATCGATTGATACAATGCGCTTTTATACTTCCAAGGTACATCAGGTAACCAAGTTTATCCTATCCAAAGAGAATAGACCCTTCTGGAAATAGAATCATTCGGCGTATAGCCACGCGAGGCCATTGGCTTTAAGAGATTACAGTTGGATTATGCTAGATATAGCGCGCCAATACATTCCGAGCCTGGTCGGTGATATAATTATAATAATAGGATAAACCAAATGATAATGGAAAATGAGGAAGAGGAATCCAAATGAGATGAGAGAAAGACCAAATGAATCAGGAGAAAAGGGAGCATGAGATAGAGGAGAAACATGGAAATGAGAAAGAAGTGTAATGGGGTCGTACTCTCACAACGAACGTTCCCGTTTCGGCAAATTCAAGCTCTATTCAATACGAGCTTGTTTCAAACTTGGGTGCGGAATCTAGGCGGTCAGCTCGGTTGATGCTCATTGAAAGGTGTTTCCCCGCTAATGTTGACTGTCGAAAAACAACAAGCATAGAAATTGTTACCACATTAACAAAACGATCTTTGTGCTGAATTGAGGGGGACAGATGGCTCGCGTCTACAACTACTTTCTTCGCGAGTCTCCCTTGTTTTCGCTTTAGGTGTTTGGTTGGGTCCGTCAATGTTTTGTGGACACTTGTTTTACTACCCGATCGATTGCTGAGAAATCCGGGTTGGACGTCTATCATGATTACAGCAGCCCTACTTCGGCCATCTTGGAAATCGACCTTGTAGCGTGTACATTTGTGGTAACCTGCTTTGGAAGTCGGTGACGTCCCGCTTTCAATTTTGAGAAACGTCCGTATCTCAAATTTCATTAGTGGATTCTTGCTGTCAAGTTTCGAGCACTTCGCTCGCAACTCACTGCCAAGATCAGGGAGCATCACACACCTGGCCCGCGGTAGTTTCAGAGGGTGTAATTGGGCGATAGCATAAGTTTTCTAGCACCCCGACCGTTTCTGGGTCAGCAGAGAGCATTTCCGTGTTCATAAAGATACAAGAAAGTGGAATACTTAACGGAAGGATCCCAAAACCTTCGAGATACTAAAAACATCTTTGTTCTTGGTCTGGGGGGTGCTTTGGCTAGAGACCAAAAACTTAGTTCTTAGTTCCAAGGGGTTTCGGGATCCTCTCCCTCGACGACACTACCAAAATGTAGGATCTCACATATTTTAAACATTGGTCATCTATAAAACAAATGTCGTTGTTTTCCTAGGGGTATCTCAACTGGCCTCTTTGGTGATGCTTCGCGAGAGGGACAAACCCCTGAAAAGAAAACCGTCGAGAATATCAACGTCGAAAATAACGCGGGCCAGGTGTACCGGGGCTCTTGACTCATATGCGTACACCAGTGTGACGTGCTGCGCTTCGTTGCGATCGCAGGCAGGCGTTGTTGTTGAATGCTGTCGTTCATGCGAACATAAAGGCCGTGTCCTGGAGGCATGCGATTCCCTCCTGGGAAGTATCACAAAGAAGTTTCGAGAGAACGAATTTTTGGTTTGGAGCCCTGGTCAGCCCCAAAATTTGCCCAAACCAACATCGACCTGTCTGAACCATGTGGAATCGGAATGCCTGCAGAACGCAACATGAAACGGATGGAATCCAGCCTTCGAGAAGCACAGGGTATAGCTTCCGCTCCAGCCAATCAGGGGTGCCATCCCATCTCGGCACCACCTCCTTCGAGAAGCGCAACGGAGAGGCCTCGGAATCCAAATCGATGGGCAAACCGAAAACAAGCCCTCGAAATGGCAGTTCCAGAAGTGTCTAGCACCACGCACCAACCATACATCTCTCGCTAGCCAACATGTGAGTTGAAATGTTCATGTGCAGGGGTGATACCCTAACCCTTTTCTATTCGATTTTTACCCAATTTGTTTTCGGGCTGGGTTGGGCAGCTCTGAATCTAGGGTGTCGAGGATCTTCTACAGGGGGTTGGAGTTTCGCTACTCAGGCGCGTTGCTTCGCCTCTTCTAGGCCGAAACTTCAATTGCAATAGCTGGAGGCTCGGGTGGTTATCACCTGGTACGAATATACATCTGTTCCTTCCCCCGTTTCCGTCTCCTTTCTGTTTGCATGTGCCTGCAGGACACAGCCAAAGGGTTCGGGTGTTGGAAGTGCAAATCTGCTGCCCCAGCCTATGCACAAGGCAGCAAGGGGAGGAGTGTCAGTGGCGAAATTGGAGAATTTGCGAAGCAAAGAGGTTTCCGCAGCCAATCGAATTTCAGCAGAGATCTTGCTGCAGTTCGGGAAGAGTTCCGGCGAAAGGTTCAGAGAGGTGGAGGAGTTCTACACCACTAAAAGGTTCATGTGCAGCAAAAAAACTTAGGGTGTGATACAATGCGACCATTTTGAAGAATCGCAGCTGAAATATCGATTCTGCCATCTGAGTTCGCGAAACGCGTCGGATTTGGTGGCTTTTGGCGCGATTTGGTACATTGGTTGGTGAAATCAACCGTGAGACCGACGTGTGGTCGATATGTGGGATTTTTGTTTTTTTTTTGTTTTTTTGTTTTTTTTTTGTTTTTTGTTTTTTTGGTTTTTTTTTTTGTTTCTGATCTGGAACACTATGCTTTCCGTGACACTCTAGCAGTAGGGTTACCCTCTTTCTATATTGCGAGGATCGCAAAACGAACGTCAAACCGGATGCATTGTTCCCCGCCCTTAGGGGGCGGTACAATTCACCACTTTTGAGGATTGTTGGCAAGATCGATAACTATATGGCGATCCCAAGCGTTTTACCCCACTGAACCGTAAAATATAGCTGAAATTCATTCTCGAACTGACTACAATCACTGAAAAATAATACAAAAAATGGAATGGGTATGTGGATCTGCCTGTGAATCTGGTGCCGGGCCATGCACCCAATCCCAATCTTTAAAACGGTTCTGTTCGGTTTTGTAAAGAATACGAGTAAAAATGTGTGGTTCAGTGGGGTGAAACGCTTGGGGTCGCCACATAATTGTCAATCTTGCTCGCGATCCTCAAAATTGGTGAATTGGACCGCGCTCCTAGCAGAGGACGAAAGGTTCAGAGAGTTGGAGGACTTCGTCTGTCAAACCTGTAGAGTATTGATGCTGGCACAAGACTTACACCTTGTATAGACAAATAGCCATAGATAACAACGATATTGATAATACAATCTATAAGTTTTTTTTAGTCCTACCTGCTCACCTGTACATGTTCGTATTGTAATTCATGTGACTAATCGGGTGGGGTCATTTTGCGTCAAGCATGGTAATGTAACCTTCCAAGTGATGCTAGAGTTGCGTGACTCTATATGTGAACCTATTGTTCACTTTTTAACTCGCCACTGCTGGTGTTACTATGCAGCGCCCTTATGAAGACATGCACAGCAACTATTGTATAATTAGCATATTCATGAATGCTAAGTCTCATAAGCATCCTTCAACACCCCCTAACATTCTTGGGGGTAGACTTCGGAGTTGGTATCCTCGCATTTGTAGATCTCGAAGGGGTCAAAGCGTTACTAGAACTCATCGGAGCATGAATATTTATTGATTAGTGTATCTGCACTCATTTCCTTGATAGGTGAGTCAACAAGGATAAGCTTGCCTTTGTCGATTTCGTCCTTGACGAAGATGTTGAGAATGGCCCTGGTCATGCAAAGGCTGCAACGTCTGTAGAAGGGGCACATTGACGAACTCTACCGATGCCAGTTCCGGCAGAGAGGCCAGTCGACAGAATAGGCTGCTAAGTCTGCAGAAGGGGCATATTGACCAACTTTGCTGACGCCAGCGCCGGCGA